AAGAAGGAGGGAAGGAGTATCAGGGAGGAAAGAAGGAGAAGGAGTATCAGGGGAGGAAAGAAGGAGGGAAGGGAGATCAGGGGAGGAAAGAAGCGAGGGAAGGAGTATCAGGGGAGGATAGAAAGAGAAGGGAGTATCAGGGGAGGATAGAAGAGGGGGAGGGGAGGAAAGAAGCGAGGGAAGGAGATCAGGGGAGGATAGAAGCGAGGGAAGGGAGTATCAGGAGGAAGGAAGGAGGGAAGGGAGTATCAGGGGAAAAGAAGCGAGGGAAGGGAGATCAGGGAGGAAAGAAGGAGGGAAGGAGTATCAGGGAGGATAGGAAGGAGGGAAGGGAGATCAGGAGGAAAGAAGGAGGGAAGGAGGGAGAAAGAAGAGGGAAGGGACAGGGGAGGATAGAAGGAGGGAAGGAGCATCAGGTAGGAAAGAAGAGGGAAGGAGATCAGGGAGGAAAGAAGCGAGGGAAGGGAGTATCAGGGGGAGGAAAGAAGCGAGGGAAGGGAGTATCAGGGGGAGGAAAGAAGCGAGGGAAGGGAGTATCAGGGGGAGGAAAGAAGCGAGGGAAGGGAGTATCAGGGGGAGGAAAGAAGCGAGGGAAGGGAGTATCAGGGAGGAAAGAAGCGAGGGAAGGGAGTATCAGGGGGAGGATCAGGAAAGGAAGGGAGAACACATGATGAATGACCTGACCTTCCAATATTGAAGTTTCCCATCAACAATAAAAAAACACCTATAATCAGTTTTCTCTTTTTTCCCTTTTTGCAACATAAAAACTTCGCGTGACTACCTCGTGATAGCATCCCACCCACGGAGAGTAGTCACGTGAGCCTTGTTTAAGGTGGTGGCTCAAACGTCAGTAAGAGATAGCCACTCAGATGATGATGATGAGAGAACAGAGAGAAAAGAGAGAGAGAGAGAGAGAGAGAAAACATCTGGGTATAACTTGCTCGTGCCATGACACATCGCCACCATAAGACAGGAGAGACTGGAGAAGGTTCGCCTGGCAGAGCTTTTATAAGAATGTCATTGTGGGTTGAAGGAAATCGCCTGCAGACGCTGTTGATTTGTTCTTGTGGGCGCTGCTATGATACACTGTTTTATTATCTAGTTTCTCCAGTTAGTATCCAGTCTTCCAGTTAAAAATTTTCTTCCACTTAGTAACCAGTTTTCCATTTAGTATCCAGTCTCCCTGTTGGTAACCAGTCTCCCAATTAGAAATTTTACTAACCAGTCTCCCAGTTAGTAACCAGTCTCTCAGCTAATAACCAGTCTACCAGTTAGTGACCAGTCTCCCAGTTAATAACCAGTCTACCAGTTAATAACCAGTCTACCAGTTAGTAACCAGTCTCCCACTTAATAACCAGTCTCCCAGTTAATAACCAGTCTCCCAGTTAATAACCAGTCTACCAGTTAATAACCAGTCTCCCAGTTAATAACCAGTCTCCCAGTTAATAACCAGTCTCCCAGTTAATAACCAGTCTACCAGTTAACTAGCCAGAGTCCAAGATGTTTAAATTCCACGTTCCATAACCCAACAAGAGTGGAATTTCAAACAGCAACATTAAGCAAGTCCAGCCATGTTGTGTTGTAGCTGCAGTACCCACCTTGTGATTATATACCTGCACGATTATTGCAGTTGAGTAATAAGTTCCCCGGTGTACATAAAGGACCTTGGGTGGTAATAAACACAGGGTAACTTTGTTGGGTCATGCTTGGTCAAATTGTCTCATTGTTTACCGTTTTTTTGTGTATACCTGCACTCTCTAGGTATATATTGCTGCTGATATACCTGTAATAGCTATATACAGGCTGAATCAATGTTAACTTGTATGACGAATTTTAAAAGAAATGTATAGTTATATATTCATTTATCTTTCTTTATCTATAGTTTTGTATCTATATCTGTTTATCTATGTATCTTATTTAGAATCCAATACAAGGTCGTTATATTCTCTCTAGCGTCGATGAGAGAGCTAAAGCTTTATGACTGCTATCTCAATAAGAACAAACTGCTTCATTGTGTGTGTGTACTGTATTGGTTGTCTGCGATAAGATAAGCAAGGCGCTGATTGGTTGATTGTGACAAGATAAGTAAGATGCTGATTGGCTCTGTGTCTGTGTGTGGTATTTTCTCATAAAGGGAATCACTTTCCACATTATCAAATAGAGAGAAATACTTAAGAAACCGTAAAGATAATTACTTTTCAAACTTTAAACTAAAAGTTGCTTAAAATAGACTTGTTCATTTAAAGGTGACCAGAATACCCGATGAGACAGAGAGAGAGGATTATGTAAGGGTGTTTTTTTGTGTGTGTGTCCCTCCCTCCCACTCCGTTTCCCTCCCGTTGTTCAGTGTATTCTCCCTCCCTCCCTCCCTCCCTCCCTCCCATCATTCACTACCCTTCCATCCGTGACTTGGCGAGTTTCAACAAAAAGGTTTGGGTTTACAACTTCACAGTCAGCTGATCACTGTTCATGAAAGAGTTTACAGCCTGGCGGACACTCTGCTTCTGCTGCTGTCCTCTGGTTGTGGCCGTGTTAGTGGGTGTGGGCGTAAAAGTGGGTGTGGGTGTGTAAATAGCTATGGCTGTATAAGTGGGTGTGGTTGTGTAAGTTGGTGTAAAAGTGGGTGTGGGTGTAAAATTGGGTGTGGTTGTGTAAGTGGGCGTAAAAGTGGGTGTTGCTATGTAAAAGTGGGTGTGGCTGTGGCTGTGTTAGTGGGTGTAAAAGTGGGTGTGGGTGTATCGTTTAGACTGTTTGAGTTAAAAAGAGTGACTGGATTTGCTCTGATAAGTGTAATCATGGCTATATGGTCGCAACACTGTTTGTTAGATTCTACACCGGAAACTGTGCTTTGAGGACTTCATGTCTGTCTGTCTGTCTGTCTGTCTGTCGGTCTCGTGGTTTTTGCTGTAGCCAATTTCTTTGGATTTTAAAAAGTGAAATATGTCTCGTGATTGTGTTATAATAATAATAATAATAGTCAGTAATGGTAACCTAATTAATAACAGCTTATCGACATGACAGACAGACAGACATACAGATATACATATCAATAATTATATGGCTGAGTTATTTCAACCTAGAGTTAATAACATGAGACAGTTTGATATCATGTGGCACACGAGGTATTTGCGCTTTAACTGGTATAAGTGCCCTGTTACACACACACACACACACACACACACACACACACACACACACACAGACACACACACATATCAGGTTACAATAACACAAAATCACTGTGCCATTCTCTGTTAGGCGGTGAAAGTAAATGACAGTGACGGCAGTGATATTTGTGTGTGTTCACTGCATGATGATGAACACTTACTAACTCTGCAATAGGTAACTTAACAATGTATTTTTTCCCTAACTAATGGTGGGGATGTTCATGGAGTTTGTTCATCTTGGCGACATTAGATAATTGGTGAAGTTTGTTCTGTAATATAATCTAAATTTTGTTGTGGCTGTGGAGAGAGAGAGAGAGAGTGAACCATGAGCTGTTACTTTCTACTTAACAGTTCCCTCTTTTTCTTTGCCTTTCTCTTCCTGTCTTTTATACACACACACACACACACACACACACACACACACACACACACACACACACAGGAATATGAAATCGAATACAATTATCATGACAAAAAAATATTAAGACAACACAAATTATTTTTTCTCAATGTTTTAAGTCCCTTAATACTTTAGAATCCACTTATGTTTTAGAAGGAACTAAGCTGTATCTAGTCTATTTACAGCTGCTGTGGAGATAATTATGTGCTGTTATTGCTGTTTTACCTTCAACACGGATGGTTACTTTACACACTCGAATTCACCGCTGCTGTTGTGTTGCTGTGACTGCTGTCTCCCGTAGACTTTACAGCTTTTATTGTCTGTACTGTACTAATTAACTACCATGGCCAACACTCCTATTACCAGCGAGGCGCCACACGGGAATGACTAATTGAGAAAATTAATTAATATGGTTTGGGAGGAGGAGGAGGAGGACAGGTTAAGGTTGTTTGCTGGGAGGAGGAGGAGGACAGGTTAAGGCTGTGTGCTGGGAGGTGGAGGACAGGTTAAGGTTGTGTGCTGGGAGGAGGACAGGTTAAGGCTGTTTGCTGGGAGGAGGAAGATGGGAGGACAGGTTAAGGGTTGTGTGAGGGAGGACAGTTAAGGCTGTGTGTTGGGAGGAGGATGAGGAGGCAGGTGGGCTGTGGGGGAGGAGGACAGGTTAAGGGGGGAGGAGGACAGGTTAAGGCTGTGTGCTGGGAGGAGGAGGACAGGTTGGGTTGTGTGCTGGGAGGAGGAGGACAGGTTAAGTGTGTGCTGGGAGGAGCTAAGGATACTGGGTGGTACTCGGTAACTAGGAGGTACAGGGTGATGCTTGGGGGGTGTTGAGTATGAGGGTGTAAAGGTGTCCTCAGTTACCTGTGATATTGGTGAGGTGTTAGCAGGGTGGTGAAGGAGTAGGTGGGAGGGAGAGAAGAGGATCAAGTGAAGGGAGAACAGGAGAGTGAGGGAGGGAGGGAGGGGAGGAGAAAGGAAAGCAGGAACAGAAAGAGAGAATAAGTTAGAGACGAAGACGAAAAAGAAGGAGAAAACGAATTACTGTATAGTGGGGTACAGTAGGTAGACACAGTGAAATATGTGAAGTGAAATAACACACACACACACACACACACACACACACACACACACACACACTGAAAAAGTCACCCCCTTTTCACTCTCTTTCAAACAGAATATGACAATCCCCGAACGTCATCCTAAGTGTTTATCACATATTAAGAATGTTGTCGACCTTTCACCTAAGTAACAAAAAAAAGAAATATAACACGATAATGATAAGAACTATTGTTGGTATGACACAATGGGTGAAAGTGAACGGAGGAGAGTATGTTGTGGGGGGGCATCATTGTGTGGTGCAGTGTCACGTGTCATAAGGCGGGAGTGAAGACGCCACACTTGTTAGGTAAGATTTAGGTGACGCCCGACTGACCTACTGTTTGAAGGTGAAAGTGATTACTCGACGCGTTTGGGATAGTTCACCGTAGTACCAAGTCATCGGTAACGTGGTCGACACTACAGCCTTCACTTCCTGCTGTAAAATTAGCCTCGTAGACTGTGAGTGCATCTTGAACCAACGCCCCTTGGGACAGGTGAGCGGTGTATCCACTCGGCCGCCGCACGCCACTTGTATACTTGACTCGGCTGGTAATAATTCATAGTTTTTGTTCCTCCTGCTGGTGGTGACCTGCTATCACTACTGACCTGCTTCTGCTACTGACCTGCTTCTGTTACTGACCTGCTTCTCTCACTGACCTGCTACTTTTGCACTTTCTACATGTTTTTATTGATGCTGCTAATGTTGCTGGTCATTCGTGTGTTACTTGAAGAAAATTATTTTTTGCTTCGTGTTTTCATATCAAGAGTTCCGCCGTCGCCGCCACCACCACCTACTACTACCACCACCACCACCACCACCCACCACCACCACCACCACCACCACCACCACCACACCACCACCACCCTACTACCCACCTTTCATCCCCACCACCACTGTTACCACCCCACCCCTGGCCCCACCACCAATACCACACTACACCAGAAAAATCTACACACACACCACATACTACTACTACCACCACCACACAAATAATACCATCCCCCCACCACCAATACCATCACCCCCCACCACCAATACCATCACCCCCCACCACCACCCTCCAAAAATAAAAAAAAAATAAAATATAAAACAGAAACGAATCTTGGCCTTTTCTAATAAGATCACCTTAAAGACTCCCTTTCACTTTGATATTTTGTACAGAGTTATGAAAAAGTATCATGATCTGATACTTCTCTTTCATATGATTGTAGGCTATACTGTTTGCCTAGATATATTTTGTAGGGTCACGTGAGGGAGATTGGGGAGACTATTGGAGCCTGTGTTGTCCCTTACTCTTAGAATACAAAAAAAAGTGAGGTAAGTCTCCCATTGTACTCTTACTCGTGTGTTTATGAGCATTTATACTCGCCAGGACCTTGAGCTACACAACATTAAGACTGTGTAATCAGAGTCTGGTGGCCTGTTATTAATTAAGACATTTATTGAGGTTCGTACAAGATGAAATTAAAGGTCATTACAGGTGAAGCAAATGTTGGTATATTGTTGTTTGTGTCTTTTTTTGATATCCCGCATCAGGTGTCAGGATAGGCGATCTACACACACACACACACACACACACACACACACAAGGCGAAGCTATACTGTACACAGCTTTAAACAGCAACTGGCAATACCAGCTGGTGCGAGCTACCTGTCGTCTTGGTGTAAATTAATGAAGGTGTTTATAGCGTACCTGTGTGTGTGTGTGTATGTGCCTGCGTGTGTGTGTGTGTGCACGTGTATTTATGTGCGTGCTTGTGAATGTGTGTGCGTACGTGTATGTCTATGTGTCTGGCTGTGTGTGTACACGTGTGTGTGTGTGTGTGTATATGTGCATTGTGAGTATGTGTGTACGTACCAACCAACTCTTTGTATATTGTATAGGTTACCAATACTCCCCAGATTCCTCCCTCTCCCTCCCTCTTGTCCTTTCCGTTATTCCGAATGCTTTTAGGTTCAAGCGATACTGTAGTGGTTTGAAAAGGATCCGTCCAATCCTGTCCCTGTTGTTACCATTCCGCCGACAGTAGAGGTGTGTAGCAGAATAATATGTATGTATGTATGTATGTATGTATGTTCGCTCCTACCTTCCTCCCCCGGGCTATTTTTGATGACGTAAATATGAAAAACGGAACTGATATCTGGTCTTATACTTCTGACTGACGATACTCTTAAGTCCTTTGAGGTGGACCAGACGTGGAACAGATCAGAGTGTAGCAAGAAGGTGTTGACTTATATTCACGATAGGTTTTATTTGGCACAGTATGTGGAGCTTACGAGTCATGCCATGGTGTGTGTGTGTGTGTGTCATGTTGCATTGTACCTGGTGTGTCCTATGTGATAAACAGATTTGAGTTAGGACAGGTGTGGTACTCTTTTGGTTAGTATATTTGTGATCAAGTTAGAGTTGGTGAAGGTTATTTTCCCCGTGTGTGTGCGTGTATGTGTATGTGCGTGTGTGTATGTGGACGAAGTAATACATGTCGTTCATTAAGTGACTCGCAACATGTTAGTTATCCGGAACAAGTTTTAACCCGACCCAATAATTAAGCTAAGTCACCTGGTAAAATAAAAACAACGTGAAAGTCATCGCTACCATTACCCAAAGACACACGTTTATACTGACAAAACCAGATAATTAACAATACTTCCTATCATTCAGAAGTTAAAGAAAGTCTTAATAAGGTCTCAGCATCAGTATCGCCTGTCTGTGTATGGATGTTGTATATCTGAATTAACTATACTGTATACATACTAAATCAATGTATAATTGTATGGCGTTTTTACTCTATATATCTACAGTATTTATTTATCTGTCTATGTATCTATCATTCTATCGATCTATCTGTTTTTGCCTGTCTATGTTTATCTATCTATCTATCCATCTATCAGTCCTCCCGTTTAACAGTAGCTGACCTATTAACCAAAGTAACGCAGTGATTGTTGCTTAAGACGTTTGGTTTTTTGGATCAACTTTCCGTCTCTTTGCAAAGGTGAACGTGGGTACAGGTGATACGGGGCGCCAGGGTTTTTTCGGCATGACCTGAACAGCGTGATCATCCTATTTAGCTCATTCATGCCATCACACACACACATACACACACACACACACCTGGTCCCTTACCTGTGATTGGTGGAAGCTGTTATACACTGGGGGAGTCACGTCATACCTCGGATCCACGGTACACGGGAGAAGAGTCGGGGAATACCTGACCGACTCCGACACCACCACCACCATCACCATCAACAACAACAAAGCTAACAAAAACAACAGTAACCCCCGATCTATAACAAAGAAAGCTATGAAATAAGCTTAAAGAAAAAAGTTGAAAATGTCAACTTGAATTAAATTTACATAAGTCATAGGTGTGTGTGTGTGTGTGTGTGTGTGTGTGTGTGTGTGTGTGTGTGTGTGTGTGTGTGTGTGTGAGTGTGAGTTACCTGGTATTATTAATTAGGGAAAATCTAATTAGTTGACGGGCAAGTTGAGGATGTCATCATTGGTCGTGTCCCTTCTTATTGTAGATTGCCTCGGGCAGGTAAACTACAATTTCGACCCCTGATATACAGAGAGAGAGAGAGAGAGAGAGAGAGTCTTTCTGTACTGGTTAGTTTTTTTTTTCTTTTTTTTTAGGGGATTAACCCACCCGGGCACAGGTCACTGACCCACATCGGGGCCTGGGGGAAAAAAAGTGAACCAAAAATAAATACAGAAATGGATAAAAAAGTCAAACAAATCAAGAGTGAAAAACAATATACAGTATACTGTTGTGTTGTCTACAGTGAGGAACACAACTGAGACCTTGCAGTTGTGTGTAAATGGGGCAGAAAGTTGGGTTCACTCTTAACACCTCCAAGATCTGCAACTCTTAACACCTTCAATATCCTTCACTCTTAATACCTCCAAGATCCGTCACTCTTATCACCTCCAAGAACCCTCACTCTTAACACATCCAAGATCCTTCACTCTAAATACCTCCAAGATCCGTCACTCTTATCACCTTCAAGATCCTTCACTTTTAGCACCTTCAAGATCCGTCACTCTTAACACCTCCAAGATCCGTCACTCTTAACACCTCCAAGATCCTTTACTCTTAACACCTCTAAGATTCGTCACTCCTAACACCTCCAAGATCCGTCACTCTTAACACCTCCAAGATCCTTCACTCTTAACACCTCCATGATCCGTCACTCCTAACACCTCCAAGATCATTCACTCTTAGCACCTCCAAGATCCGTCACTCTTAACACCTCCAAGATCCGTCACTCTTAACTTTTCCAGATCCTTTACTCACTTGCTTACCTCCAAGATTCTGAAATCCTCCCTAACACCTCCAGAATCCGTCACTCTGCCCACCTCCAAGATCCGTCACTCTTAACACCTCCAAGATCCGTCACTCTTAACACCTCCAAGATCCTTTACTCTTAACACCTCTAAGATTCGTCACTCCTAACACCTCCAAGATCCGTCACTCTTAACACCTCCAAGATCCTTCACTCTTAACACCTCCATGATCCGTCACTCCTAACACCTCCAAGATCATTCACTCTTAGCACCTCCAAGATCCGTCACTCTTAACACCTCCAAGATCCGTCACTCTTAACACCTCCAAGATCCGTCACTCTTAACACCTCCAAGATCCGCAACTCTTAACACCTCCAAGATCCGTCACTCTTAACACCTCCAAGATCCGTCACTCATAAAACCTCCAAGATCCGTCAGTCCACCTGCTTTGAGGACTTACCGTTTTAATAATAATAACATAAATAATAACAAGAACATTAGGTAAAGTAATTAACTAATAATGACAGTATGACTAAAGACAGTATCAGAAATAATGACATATTAATAATACCAGTAATGAGAATAATTAATAACAGCAGCAAAAATAATTACAAGTGATAATTATCACTTATTAATTATAATTAATAGATGGGATCACCTGAAGATTAGACACCCTAGTTTATTTCACCTGAAGATTAACCACCCCTAAGGCTAACTAAAACTAACCTAACCAAATCCCCTCAGGTAGCGCTAAGGTAGTTCATCTAAATTCTAAAGGGTAAAATAAGCAAGCGTGTCTAATAATATTAATAGATTGACTTTATATACATATTACAACTACCGTATTATTTATCCCGTTACCTCCACTAAACCTGAGCGATAAGAGTGAAAGCCGTGTACGTCCGTGTTAACAGTACCAGAAGTCATTTAGTAACACAATTAGCTCCCAAGACCCAAGGTATTCCCAGTAGATGACATAAGAACATGCCAATTAACCTCTGCCTTCACCTCTTACTCCCTCGACTCTTTAACTTTGTTCTAACTGTATTAAATAGTGGTTCACCAGTGGGACGGACTCTCTCTCTCTCTCTCTCTCTCTCTCTCTCTCTCTCTCTCTCTCTCTCTCTCTCTCTCTCTCTCTCTCTCTCTCTCTCTCTCCTTTGGTTAGGTTAGATGAATTTGC